CCTGGGATCGAGCCCCACATCGGGCTCCCTGCTCGGCAGGAGGCCTGCTTCTCCCTCTTCCACTCCCCCTGCTTGTGTTCCCTCTCTCGCTGTATCTCTCTCTGTCAAATAAATAAAAATCTTTAAAAAAAAAAAAAAAACTTGTTAAGAGGGTAGACCTCATGTTAAGTGTTTTTACCATAATTAAATAAAATTAATTTTAAAAAGACTGAAAATAATTTAATCAAGCACCAACTCAAGAAAGGGAAGATCAACAAAGAATGCCCAAGAAAGTAGAGGAAGGAAAGAATAGAGTGCAGCTATTAATTTAATAGGATTCTAAAAAAGTAAATGGGAAGACTGAAATTCTGTTTGTGTTTAAAAAGTACTGACAAGATAAATGAAGAAAAAGAAGATATAAATAAATTTCAGGGTGAAGGAGAGAAACATAATGAGAGACATAGTAGATACACCAGAATTCTTAAAAGTAAGACAGAATTGGGAACTCCCCCCTTAGGCAAACTTTACATAAAAAGAGAGACATTCTATACTTCATTTTGAGGTTATTTTAATCTTGATATCAAAACCAGACAAAGGCAAAAAGAAGAGAATTGCAATTATTAGACCAATCTCATCTATAAACATATATGTAATCTTAAATAACTGTTAATAAGCTAAATACAGCAATATATGTTAAAAAAAGCTCATAACACTTGATCATGTAGGGTTTACCTAGAATGAAAGTATGATTTATCATTAATAAATTCATTATTACAACATACCCAATTAATAGACTTTAAAAATCTTTATGTTTACCTCAATACCTACAGAAAAGCAATAAATAAAATTCAACAGTGCTTCATTATTAACAAAAAATCCTCATAGTAAACTGGTAATTGAAGGGAAAAATTTTCTGGCAACTTTTTAATGGTCTCTATCAAAAAATATACATATTTGACTCTATAGTCCAATAGTAGAGGCATTCTCTTTGAAATTAGGAAAAGATGTCTACTATCATGACTTCTATTCAATATTATGCCTGTCTTAGGCAGCACAGTAAAAGAAGATACAAGGATGGAAAATAAACAAAACTGCTACACACACACACACACACACACACACACACAGACTTACACCTAATGTGAAGTGAAATGCAAAATAATGTCTTGCCCAGGGACAGCTGGTGAATAACAGAGCCAAGAGTTCACACATAATTTGGCTCCAGTGTCTGAACTCAACAACTTCTGTACTGTCCAGTGGCACAGAGAATTGAGGAAAAAACTGTTCACTTCAAATGCAATCTAAATTGCAGGCATGCTTCTCATAAATTTCCTCACCAGTTAAATAATTAACCAGAAATTTACATGAATATTATTAGCAAATTTTTTATTTCTCTTCCAATAGATTTAGTTCTTCGTGTTTTTAGATTTGTCCACTCTTTCGGTATGATAAATAGTGCCACAGTGAATATTGTTGGGTCTCTGTATATGTAGAATAGTTTCTTTGAGGTTTATTTTCTGTGGATACAGTCATACGAGCAGCATTAACAGGTAAAAAATTGTGAACTATGACTATTGGCATAAATTGGCAAATTTCTAAAGCAATTTGTGGTGACCCTGAAATATGATAAGTGAGTTTCTAAATATATGATTAACTCATGAATTAAGAGCTTCTTTAAATGGTGCTTATACTTGGATAGTAGTGTTTTGCTAACTTGTGAATATGGTATATTGAAGTCATTCTTTGAAACAGGTTTCTATTGCAAAATAAGTTGTTAATTAATTTTACTTTATTTTAGTTGTATTATTTTTTAGTATACACACAGTTATTATTGAAGCTAGAAGTTGGGAACTTAATCATACAATTCTAATGTTTTATATGTTTAAAATTTTCATAATAAAAAACAGAAATGCTTTTTTCAAATTACTTGAATTAATGTATAAAAAGCAAAACTATATAAGCAGAAGATTAGTTTTTAAAAGTAGATTTCAAACGTTCATATGGTGAAATATTTTGTTACATTTGATTTTCCTCAGAATTAGAAAATGAAAGGGGTCATCAAGTCATTTCATATGAGTATATATATTCATTTCATATATATATATATGAAATATATATGTATGTATGAGGCAGTAAAGCTTAGTGGGTAAGATCACAGAATTTGGAACCATTCCCTAAAGCTTAGTGGGTAAGATCATAGAATTTGGAACCAAACTTCCTGCATTTAAATCTTGACTCTACCGGGGTGCCTGGGTGGCTCAGTTGGTTAAATCTTGACTCTACCATATACTAGCTCTGGGACTGCAAACAAATTACTTTTCTTAGGTTCAGTTTTCTCTGTAAAAATGGTCATACTTATTTTTATTTTTATTTGTGATTACAAATTTATTTTTAATTTTGGAGCATTTTATGCCCAGAGTGATTGATGCTTTTATTTTGTTCCTTTGTTTCTGGGTAGGTGGAAACAAATTGTTCAAAATGTATAGTCTTTATGGGATAGAGAAGATATGGGCAAAGAAGGTACAGGGCTGTTTCTCTGATTTTGGTTTGAACTTTCCTTATATTCTTGAATCTTTCTTCTTTTTTTCTTATTTGTTTTCCAGATTAAATGCATTTATGGAAAAAGAACAACTGGATGGTAAGATAATAGTAGAATATTGTAACACTGCAATGGATTCCTCAGCGGAAAACAATATGTATGTAAACAAAGTGTGGGTTCAATGTGAGAATGAAAGCTGTTTGAAATGGAGATCATTGTCAAGTGAGGATGCAGCCAAAGTTGATCACAATAAACCATGGTACTGCTTCATGAACACTGATTCAAGATACAGTAAGTGCTCTATTTCTGAAGAAGACTTCCCTGAAGAGGCTCAGCTTCATGAAAGTGGATTTAAGATCATCTATTCACAGCTCCCTCTTGGAAGCCTGGTTTTGGTAAAATTACAGAATTGGCCAAGGTAAAGTTGTTGTTATTTCATAATAAACTGTTGAGTTACAGTCTTGCTAAGTTGATGAATTTTTAAAACTTTTCAAAGAATCAACTTTTTTTCTACTGTTTGTCTAATTTATTTATTGTTTCCTGATCTCATCATTATTATCTTCCTGACATTTTGGGGTCTAATTCTTTTTTTTCTAGTTTCTTAAATTGGACACTTTAGGTAACTGATTTAAATCTTTTTTTTTCCCCTTGATATAGGCAACCACAGCTAAAAATTTCTCTTTAAGCATAGTGTTAGCTATATCCCACAAATTTTGGTATATTGTGTTTTATTACCATTCAGTTTCAAATATTTACTAATTTTCTGTGTGATGTCTTCTTTCAAATGATCTGTTAAAAGTGTATTTTTACCTGATATTTGGGGATTTCTAAATATCTTATTGTTATTGAGCTCTAATTCAAGTCTATTGTCCAGTGAGGATATTTATGATCATTACTTTGAATTCTTTATCATGCATATTACTTATCTCTGTTTCATTTAGCTGTTTTGCTGTGGTTTTGTTCTGTTCTTTCATTTGTGACATATTCCTCTTCCTCCTCATTTTATCTAACTCTCTTTGTTTCTGTGTATTAAAAAAGTCAGCTATGTCTCCTGATCTTGAGAGTAGTGGCCTTATGAAGAAGAGGTCCTGTGGTGGCCCATAGTGCAATGCCCCATGTTCACCAGAACCAGGGGTGTGTCCTATATGGGTTGCTTGCACCCTACTATTGTGGCTGAGCTGTGTTTGCCTCTAGTCCAGTTGGCTGCAATGGCCCACTTTGCTTGTTGTGGGTACACTGAGCAGAGTTTGGCCCTTGTGCCATTGAGGGATCAGTCTGGGGCTGCTGTGGGCTTGTGGTTGGGTGGTGTCAACAATCAGACCAGAGGCCTGTCCCCAGTCTGCCCTGCTGGGGCTGTAGTTGGCCTGATCAACAGGGCATTCTCTCTGTGCTGCCAGCTATAAGTTTTGGCTACTGGGACTGTGGATGCACTTGTGTGTGTGGTTACCTTCCCCTCTCCCAGGGAAGAAGTCATTTTGGAGTGGCACCAGTCCCTGCTGGGATTGCTTGCAGAGTGTATCAGGGCAGAAGCTGCTTTGGAGGGACACCTGCTGAATCTCTTTTGTACTTTTATATGAAATGAATTCTATTCTTTAAGAAGAGGTTTTTTTCAGTCAGTTTTCTCTCTGTTGTTCAGATTGGATCATTTCTGTTTTAAGTTCACTGATTCTTGCCTCTTTCATATTCATTCTGCTATTGTGACTATCCATTGAGCTTTTTGTTTTAGTTATTGTATTTTCAGGTGTAACATTTCCATTTGGTTCTCTCTATATCTTCTATTTATTTGTTAGATTTTCCTTTTTTTTTTTTTTTTTTCATTTTGGATCTTATTTAAATCTGTTTTAGCAGGCTGGCCCTACTACTGTACTGGAGAGATATGAGAGAACCTCTTGTTCCTTCTTTTTTTTTTTTAAGATTTTATTTATTTATTTGACAGAGAGTGACCCAGCGAGAGAGGGAACACAAGCAGGGGCAGAGGGAGAGGGAGAAGCAGGCTTCCCGCAGAGCGAGGAGCCCGATGCGGGGCTTGATCCCAGGACCCTGGGATCACGACCCGAGCCGAAGGCAGACACTTAACGACAGAGCCACCCAGGCACCCCCCTCTTGTTCCTTCTTGCCAGATGGGAGTGGAAGTCTAGGTTTTCTACTCAGCCTCCACTTACTCTCTGGAAAGGGAGGGGTGCCTCATTACTGCTGGGCAGGGATGAGAGTTCAGGCTCCTCACTCACCAACTTGGCTGGGAGAGGTACGGGTACCTTGTTACTCACCTCCACTGATACCATGGGGGGAGAATCATGTTAATTCTGGAAGGTGATAAAAATTCCAACTTCCCAGTAGTCCTCCTCCACCACTATCTGAGTGGGGAGGAAGTGGGGGCTTTATTACTGCTGGGTGGGTTGAAGTCCAGGCTCACCACTTGGCCTTTGTTGATAAGGATAGAGATGGGAATCTGTAGATTTTTCCATGGTATTTGGCTGGGAAAAAAGCAGCTATTGCTTTAAAGTTTTCTGTCTTGCTAGGTTGCCCCTATCCTGGTCCTATGACTAGAAAGAGCAGGCTTCATATGGACTTTTTGTTCCTTTGCATCCATTGGTACCTCTGGGTTGCTGGCTTCTTTAGCACCCAGTCTAGGATATATGAGGCAAAAAGAGCACTGAGGGAACTCACTGCCATGTCATTCTTCAGGTCTTGAGGCCCTTCTCTGGTTTATCTTCTCTTCATCTTTTAGAATCTTCTTATGTTTATTTGATGTATAATACTGAGGAATTTTTGGTGTTCTTAGTGGGAGGAATATAGAGAATTGAGTCTACCTCAACTTGTCCAGAACTGGAATCTGCAGAATAGATTTGCTTTAGCTTTTTTGTCTACATCACATACCCAAAGCCCCTTATTCTATTATTTTCTCAGAGTATCAAAAATATGAACTTGTTGTCTGAGATTTCCTAGCTTTTTTCCTTCTCTAATTTTATTTTTTAAATTTTAAAATTGAATTATTTCCATATTTTAACTAATAAACTTTATTTTCTAGAGCAGTTTTAAGTTTGCAGCAAAATTGAATGGAAAGTGCAGGGTCTTCACATATCTCCCCTCTAGCCCCACACAACCTCATATACCATCAAAATCCCAAATCAGTGTGGCACATTTGTTACAATCTATGAACCAGCATTTACCCATCATTGTTGACCGAAATCCATAGTGAATCATTAGGATTCACTCTTTGTGCTGTACATTCTATAGGTTTTGACAAATGTATAATGACATGTATTCGCCATTATAATATCATACAGAATAGTTTCACTGGCTTAAAAATCTCCTCTGTTTCACCTATTCATCCCTCCCACCACCCCCTGGCAACTGGGGATCTTTATACTATGTCCATAGTTTTGCCTTTTCCAGAATGCTACATTGTAATCACAATATGTAGCCTTTCAGATTGGCTTCTTTCCCTTGGTAATAGGCATTTAAGTTTCCTCTATGTATTTTCATGGACAGACATGGTTGTTTTAATTTGCATTTCCCGGATGACATATGATGTGGAACATCTTTTAATATTCTTATTTGTCATCTGTATATCTTCTTTGGTGAGATGTCTGCTCAGGTCTTTTGCCTATCTTTTAATTGAGTGGTTCACTTTCTTATTGTAGAGCTTAAGAGTTCTTTGTATATTTTGGATACCAGTCCTTTATCAGATATGTGTTTTGCAGATATTTTCTCCCAGTCTGTGGCTTATCTTCTCATTCTTACTAGTATCTTTCACAGAGCAGACATTTTTAATTTTAATGAAATACCACTTACCAATCTTTTTTTCATGGATGGTGCTTTTGGCGTTGTATCCCCACTTTTATTTGTACGTTCTCTTTCCTTTATTCATATTGATCCTTTCTTCTTCGATTTGGTTTATACTCCCAGCAGTTTCTCATCAGTGTAAGCTTTTGTCCTGGAAAGGAGTTTTGTTGGTTAGTTTTAAGTGTTCACAGAGCCCAGACAGCTCCAATAACTTCAGATTTTGTTGCTATCCACCTCACAGTTTTGGCTGCTGTGCTCATGTTGACCTGCTGCACTTTTCAGTAAGTACTCCTTACAGTTTTGAGGCTCTTATTTCCCAAACCCATCAGACCACTGGTTGCCTGCCGCCCCCCCCACCCACTTTCCCTCATACAGATGCTAGTAATACGTGGGTCTTGTACCTGTCAATAGCTTGTACTTGCCTGCTTCTATTTTGGTAGTTTCCGTGGATAGCTTATCACTTAGTTTTGTTATAGATATGTGTCAGGTTTTGACTGTGCTATTATAGTTGTTCTGCCTGTACTTACGGGAAAATTTCAGGAGATTCTAAAACCCTAACACCATTGCTGCTATCTTCCTAGAATCCCTTGCTATTTTACATTATATTCTCCTACTTAACATTCTCAAAGCTGGCGTACTCTGGCTCATATTACCTCATTTTCATTCACATTCAGCTGTTCTCCATGAAGAATATAAAATGTTTGCTTTCATAGAGAGACTGTGATGGACTTACTGTAACACACCACACATACACACGCGCGCACACACACAGACAAGAGGCCTTCAAATCAAACCTATAGTTGTGTTATTGTTCTGTCACTTACTATTGTGGGCTGAATTGTGTTCCCCAAAAGAGATACTTTAAAGCTGAAACCTCAGAAGTGACTGTATTTGGAATCAGGACCTTTAAAAAAGTGATTAAATGAAAATAGGCCATTAGGGTGGGCCCTACACCAATCTGACTGGTATTCTTGTAAGAAGAGGAAATTTGGATACACAAAGAGGCACCAGGGATGCACATGCACAGAGGGAAAACTATGTGAATGCATAGCAGGAAGGTAGCCAAGGAGAGGCTTCAAGAGAAACCACCCCTGCTGACCTATTGATCTTAGACTCAAAGCCTCCAAAACTATGAGAAAATAAGTTTCTGTTGTTTAAGCCACTCACTCTGTGGTATTTTTCTATGGCAGCCTTAGCAAACTAATACATTTAATATCTTTGCAAATGTGGAAATCTCTCTGAGATATATACCTTTTGCTACTGAGGACTTTTCTAGAGATCAAATGTGAAATGTTGTAAATATGTACATATTATTTATTTAAATATTAAAAATATTATTTTCTTTTGTAAAATAATTAGGATTGGCATGAAGAGGAACTAGATAGCTATGTAAAAACAAATATCTTAAAAGACATGAATATGAATGCTTATTTTATGAGGTTACTTATGAAGGTATTTGTAGTCCATGTCATTTTTCAGATCTAAAACTAATATTTTGAAAGCAGAGAATTTGTATTTTCTAATGGAAATTCTGAAGTCTCAATAACTAATTCAAGAAATGTATTTGCTTCTTATCACTATATCTGAAATATTATGTTAGAAATCTGATTAGGAATTTCTTTTGCAGTTTTG